TCTCTCTCTCTCTCTCTCTGTCTGTCTCTCTCTCTCGCGCGCGCGCGCGCGCGCGTGCGCGCGCACCATTTGTCGTGATTTCTCTTTTTTTTGTTTTGTTTCTCTTTTTTTTCTTTTGTTTCTTTCCTTTTCTTTTTGGCCTATTTTTGTCAGAAGTATGTGCGAGGGACCAATAGCAAAGAAGTACCGCGAGGGGATGATGAAAAGAACTTCCAAAAGAAAGACAAACTTTGAAAAAAAAAAAAGAATGGCATTTAGTTCACTTCCTTCTCTATTTTGTCCACCTTCCCGCACAGGTCTGGGAAGGCAGCGCCCGCCGCCCGGTAGTCCGAGCCTCGACACGGCTTGGCATACCGGTCGGCCAAGGCTAGCACCCCACTGGCTGGCGGTAGCTGGCCATCGCAGGCCACCAGCCGTTGAAAGAAATGTTTTGAGACTGCACTGCTGGGGGAGAACACAAGCACCTTTGTTTCCACTCTGGCTACCTGAGGCCACCCCCCCTTTATAGCACAACACCAATCCCCGCCCGCGCGGAAAGGAGGCACGGGGATTGCTTGGTGTGCTTCAAAAGCGGAGGCAAACTTGCCCGAAAAGGCAAGTCTTCCTTATCGGGTAACAGAAACCTCGCAAAGTGCCGAGAAATTGCTGTTTTGCAGTGGAGTCCCATTTCACTTGCCCATTCCCATCGGCTACTATTTGTGCTGGCGGATGCTTTCCTGGCCGCCAGGTACCGCCAGCCCGTGGGGTCCCAGCCCACGAGCGTGCCAAGTAATAGTGGCACTCAGTGGTGGCTTCCCGAGTATCCGCACACACCAGATATCTCGGAAGTGATCTTACCATAGCTGCGGCTAGATTCTTTCGAACTCGAAGAAACCAAAGATGCCCCAGTAGTCCATGATGACGGTTTGCGCACCACGGCAGGCGACTCTTCGTCGTGTGTAACCAAAGAACGGCGGGAATGGCTTAGCATTTTTCAAATCTTCGACGAGAGCAGGTAGACATTTTACGGTTGGAAAAACCATAAAAATGTCACCCAGCTTTAAAATGTCACCCCGCTCCCCTCGAATATTATTTGAGAAGTGCGACCGCAGAGCAACTCCCGCCAGCCTTTCGTTACAGAAGACGAAGACTCGCCCTGGTGCACAACCCGCCTTACAGCGGGCGAGTGTTCGTCTTCTGTATCGCAAAGCAGGCAGGAATTACTCTCTGGCCGCACTTGCGAAATCTTCGACGGAAGCGGGGTGCCATTTTGACATGTTTATCGAACCGAGCTGAAGCCACAAGCAGGTGTGTTGCCGCGCGATGTGGTGTGTTTGGCAGAGTGGGAACTGAAGGCCAATGACGCAGAGGCGGACGCACATCCATCGTGGTCTTCACTTCGTCATTTCTAGCCTGTCCGATGCTCTGCCTTCGACTCACTGTCGGTATAAATAGAAAGCCTCAATGTCATGTGTCCAGAGCACGTTCCTCTTGGCTTTGGAGTCGTCGCATCCGATCATAGCAGCCTATACTCGCACTGCTCTCCATTGCGGCGTGTCCTTGCGCTGCACAGAGAGGCCCCATCGGCATTTATTGGTGTCCATAACCTGTGTGCCTTCGAGCTGCCATCTGTGTCGGAAAGTAGAAGGATGAGCTTGGTGGTCGGATCATCTCGGCAGTAGAAGAGGCCTTCCTTCCCCAGCCGCGGGTGTTGTGATACCGGCGTAAGATAGCCGCATCTAGGCAAGCGACAGCCACTTCTGCTGCTACCTCTGCTGTCCATCGAGCCTTCAATTAGTCCATATCCAGTCTTGAGGTGCTACGCAATCGCCCGGGGGGCACAGCCCACGTGGAACCAGCTTTGCTTTAGTAGGACCTCAATCCGTCGTCACAGCTTGCGGAATCTCAGCCCGTCGTTATTCCTACAAGGGAAATCAAGGTGGGTTGGGCACAAGGTGGGAACGGCAAGCACGGCAGGGGCTCGGACTGTCGTGCTGGATGTCTTTGTAACCATCGCCCCGGGCCCTTCTCATCCTCAATTCTGCCCTTCTGCTCATACCCTTCCTCTGCAATTCGCTCCCCCTCTTCTAGCTGTTCCTTCGTGAAGCGCACATTGAATTCTTTCTCAGACCGTTGGAAGGACTTTGTCATCAGATGACGTCGATGGTGTCCACAATGGCTCTTCTGCTCATTGCTGCAGTAATCATGATCCTCATGGCCTGCGGCCATACCTTCGGTGATGGTGGCATGCTCGTGGCAGCATTGGATGCCCAAGCTTCCCAAGAAAATGGTGCTGCCGCTGCATCCTCATCAACTGTCATAGCAGCTTCTTCATCGGACCTCAGCTTCTCCGGAAGGCTCTGGCATAGGCGGACTTCCGCCGGAGTAGAGGAACCTGGGCCCAATCATTGGGACGGAAGGTTGGCGACGGTGGACGAGCAGGGAAAATTGCATCTTACGATCTGCAGGAATGCACAGGGAGGGTGGTCATGCACTGAGGTTCTCCTTGCATCGTCTTTGGGTTACGGCACTTATACGGTGCAGGTATCATCTCCCATAAACGGCCTGCACAAGAATGTGATGCTCGGGCTTTTCACCTACGCGGATGACGCACAAAGCGAGCTGTCCAACACCCATCGCGAGTTCGACGTGGATGTGGCCAAGTGGGGCGTTGCCAGCGAAGCCACCAACATCCAGTATGCCATCCAGCCGTACCAGCTGCCGGGCCAACGCCTCTGCTTCACTGTCGCCGGGCAGGACTCCACAATCCATGCAATGACCTGGTCGCCCAGCTCTGTGTCCTGGACCAGCACCTCCTCCTCTTCGGGGGTGGTTCTCGAGACCTGGTCCTTCGGAAGCTCGCCCGAAGTGGGCGCCGTGCCATCACCGGGCGGCGAGGTGTTCCACATCAACCTCTGGCTGTTCGGAGCCAGCCTGCCGGAAGACCGCACCGATGTGGAGGTTGTCATTCACGACTTCTCCTTCACACCTCTCAAGGCACCGGGTCGGAAGCTTTTTTCACACCAACGCTATCCCCGGCATCATCGCCCGCGCTCATCATCATCGCCATGATTCAGTATCATTATGAGGGGTTGCATTGTGTATTTCCTATTTGTTGCGCATGTGTTCATCTGAGGACAGTTAAGAACAGTCGACTTTGGTTATTTATTCGGGTGCATATTTATTGCGAATGTGTTCATTTGAGGGCCGTTGACAACTTTATTTATTTCGGCGGGTGTGTTAAGTAGGCTTAGATAAGAAGGTTGGGTAGTTTCGATTTATTGACAAGTGCCTGTCGACCCGGTCGGGTAAAATCCGCCAGAGGGTGGTGATCTCCCAAGTTTAGGATGGGGATGTATAGAAGGAAGCATGGAAGTTGACCAATTTTAGCCGTGGGCACTGCGTTTGGGGCGAGGTTTGCACCGTGTTTGGGGCGAGGTTTGCACCGTCGGACATGATTTTTACATGCGTGTATTGAGGACACAATGATCTGACAATCTGGGCTGTCGATTCTAAGCAAAGAATGAGATCCTGACCTTAGACTGCAGTGTAATTTATCTGCCGCTTTCCGACGCGTGGCTGCCGACCTCGTGCCCTCCAGCTTTTGACGAGAGACTGGTTATGGCGACTTGAATACACTGAAGTCGGCTCCTGATATCCTGAGCGTTGGCTGAAAACTCCTGGCGTGATGCGGGTGATGTATGCACAAGTGCAGGATGCCTTTGCCTCAAGGGTGTCATAGGGTGTAGAGACGGGGTTCAGTGGGGTCTACAGAGGAATATATCAGTTAATTATTGGGTTAATTATTGAGATATTTGTTTTCCTTCGTTGATTCTTTCTCCCTAATTCAGTTATGTTAGGTGATTTCGACGGACATTCAGATAAGTCAGTTTCTAAATTTGTATTTTCCGTCTTTTTTTTTTTTTTTTTTTTTTTTTTTTTAAACGCCTATCACCGTCTATAGTATACGGTCATCATTTTGTACGCGACATTCAGCGGAGATTCTTGCACGCTCCGGGGCCCATTATAAGCCGTGTCTGCTTGAGTTGATATAAGTGACTTAGGATGTTACCATTCTTGCTGACAATGCGGAGCTTTCGTCGATGTTGCAATATGGCCAGCGATCCCTTATGCATTCTCTTTTTTATTCAAAGGGCATAACAGGCATATAAAGACATGCCCGATGCAGCGATGCTTCAAGCATCGGTATCGTCGGTGCAGTGCTAATTTGAACCAAAATGAAGTGTTTTGGATTAACTAGGAATTAGACTCAATACGTCTGAATAACTCGAAACCAGCCCGTGTCGGTTTGTCTTGCTAGACAATATCAAATCGAATCTGGGGCCGCACATGCGATTCTCCTATCCCTGTGTCTTTCGGGAGATTGACCTRTAGAATCTGTCTTCCCGAGTCAAGGCTAAACCTTGCAGCGCCTCTGTTTGCCATTTGAACGGGAGTCCAAGCACATAAATAGGAATCCAGCATTTAAGCAATGTTCGCCAACTCTTTGTTCCGGTCCTGTGAACGGACGAGCACCGAAGCTTCTGGACCAGGCATTCTCCATCTCTCCTTTTTTTTTTTTTTTCCCTTTTCTTTTTCTTTTAAAAGCCCAGGGGGTTGTAGGGGCCAGTTACTAGGCACACATTGATCGCCCGGAGTGATCAGCAATTGTCGTCCTGAGGCTGAGGGAACGTGGCTACCCATCTCAATCAGCTCAGGAAACCTTCACTGCCTTCGGTCAAGTCTGCTGTGGTCTTCACGGCAAGGGTTTGACCTTAGATCCACAGATTGCTCGTGTTCCACTCGTGTGTCTTCTCTTGAAACCTAGTCGCAACGATCTCAATTGCGTTGGAAGGCAGTTTCAGGCCTGCCCTCTCACAGCCACAGCCTTGTTTTAGAGTTGAACAAGTACCCACGCTGACCCACTCAAAAGAAAAAAAACTGAATACTAATTGGCCTCTAGCTCAGTTTTTATACCCAATGAGCTGGTGAAATACTGGCCCGTGTTCGAATCCAGAAAAAAAAATAAAAAATCTGAATGAAGCATCGAATCAACCACCGCCAACGCTTTGCCCCAATCATGCGAACCAACGAGCACTGAAGCTTTTCAGCCAGGCATTGTCAACCTCAATCAGGCAAGAAAAACCTTCAGCTAATATTCTCAGCCTCGTATTGTACCGTTTTTGGTACGTGCCATCTTCCCAGCAAGGGTTCTTACTGAGATCCAAACTTTCCAAAGGTTGGTCATCCTTAACTCGGTATCTGGTTGGGAGTCTTGGGACTAATTGCCAGCGGTCTCCAATTTTGTGTCCGAGCGTAGTTTCATGTCCCCCTGTACGAGCGAGCACAGATGGTAGGTCAGGCGCAAAAAGATCATACAGTCCGTAGCCAGATATGAAAACGTATTTGACACCATACAACGAAAACCCGGACTATCGAGTGGCGCAGGGCAGAAGTGAGGCCCTGAAAGCAGACCCGGGTTCACTGATATGCTGCAGGCAGTGCAGGGTAGTCTGCTGGGAAAGGGAAAATTTTCATCGGAACCTCGTTAGCTATGTACCTGGGAAAGCTCGCATTTCGTCATTGTACGCTGGGAACGCCCTGCACAAACTCCAGGGACCGATAGGTGTAGCCCACATTGTCGTTGTTTTATCCAGTCAACCTTCAAGGTACAAGAACAGTCTGTTCTGGAGATAAGGACTTACTAACATCTCCGGGCCCAGTATGTCCACTTACTAGTTCGCAAAAATATTTGTATACCTGGGTACCATTTGGCCACAGCGCTGACAACGGTCCACTCTCTCTCTCTCTCTCTCTCTCTCTCTCTCTCTCTCTCTCTCTCTC